AATTAAGATCAACGATATGCAATTAGATCATATATGTGACTAAGTATCCTTAATATGCAATTAAGATCAAGCATATGCAACTCGAGATCAAGGACATGCAATTAGGTATATGTAATATGTAATTAGGATCAAGTATATGTAATTGGAGATCAACGAAACATTGAAGACAATAATGTATGAGGTCTGATGAGATTGTTGTTCTGAAGAATAATTGCTTTTAGTGGATATAATCCTAAGATTCAATAGGTTCTTTCATTTTATGATGCACAACAAGAAACTGCAGATAATGGTTTTAAGATAACCCAGAAAATGAAATGGAATAAAAAGGCAATATATCCATTTTCCCCAATAATATCAGGCCTAATAGGAGTATTGTCACAGCTAGCAATAGATATAACATCTGACCTCAATATTTAGGAAAAGGAAAAATAGGAGAGGAAATAGTTAGCAATGAAAAATAAGATATTGTCTAGAATTTAGCTAGGTCAATATTTGGTTAAGCTTAATAAGGCACTTGGATTGATTTTAGCGTTTAGGGATCAAGATTCATCCAAACGCCAAAAGTTGAGTCAGAAAGGTTCTTTAAACTGATCTAGTGAATTCTGCACTTGTACAATGTTTTCATTGGCAAGGGTAAATGAAGACATCTCAGTTCAGCATCAAGGAGATTTACTATCAGTTATTAAACCTCTGTTTAATGGTTAATTCGCTTAATGGTAACATCCCAAAATCTAAGGGTGCCCCAAAAACAGTATTCAAATGTTAAGCTCATTCAAGAAGTCAAATAAGTGTTTTTTGTATGCATAAGCAGTCCAATAAACTAAAACAGACTCATGAAACACTTTACCTTCTTTGTCACGCACCAACCAAGGAAAGACTCAATTAACTCTTCAAAAATGTGGAAAAGTTTCTTTAACTTATGCTCATATCAATATAAATACATATAAAATTCCACAACAAGTTACATATATTCTCTGCAATGCTCCAATTTTCTTGAATACTTCACCTATTAGGATGAGAAAACTGAAACATGTTGAGCATCTGAATCTATCAAATTGTGGAATAGATTGTGCAGGAGCATCAGGTTCTTCCTTTACTTGATCTAAAATCAAAACTTTCTGGATGCAAGCCCGACAATTAGGACATAGAATCCTTGTGTGGGTGGCTTCTGATATAGGCTTTCCAGATATAGTTCTTGGGAGGAGTTGAATCCCTATAAATAATAGGATCAGGGGAAGATAAAGTTATGTTCTTCTTCTCAATGTCACTGAAGCTAGAATTGTCTTTTGTTTCAGAAATTTCTTGCCCTCCATTACATGAACTTTATTAAATACAACGAATTGTAAAGATTCTTCCTAAATCTGATGTTCCTTGAACTATAAAGGCAAAACAGAAACTCATTTTTCTAAGTAGGAAAAAAAAAACCCACTTTTTTCCCTGATGGCACATTCTTGGGAGGAGTCGAATCCCCAAGAATAATAGGATCAGAGGAAGGTGAAGTCATGTCCTTCTTCTCAATGTCAGTGGAATCATCCTTTATTTCAGAAATCTCTTGCCCTGCATTATATGAATTTTATTGAACAAGGAACTATAAACAGTCCTCCTAAATCTGATGTTTCTTGAACCATAAAAAGCAAAAAAGAAACTCATTTTTGAATTTCACAAAAAGCCCACTACTAATCAGCTTAACAAAGAGCATAAACCAAATGTGCTGCAGATAAACTCTTTGAATTTCTGCTTGTGATGTTTCTGCAGGAGAACAAAGTCTCAACTGGGTAAAGCGTGAGCTCGAAAAAGGTTTAGAAGCATTATTATTTGTAAGGGAAGCCAACGAACAAGCAAATTTATGTTTGCTAAAGCTCTCAATATGATTTTACTACCTCTGTTTCTAATTATAAAACCTCATTTATAATCTATAAATGAGGTCTTATAAATAGGAACGGAGGTAGTATTTGTTTTGTACGGTTCTTCACTAACCTTTTCAGTGAAAACGCAATAAGAAGAAGAAAATTTTTGCCATTCACTTTTACACAGTCAGGACGCAGGACTACTAAATACTGAAGATAAAAACGGGTTGGAAAAAAAACAAAGATGTTGATTATTGCATGGCAAGAAAAAACAAATTTTTAGGGACAAAAATTTTATCTTACATTCCACCTTTTAAAAAGAAATAAAATAAAATATTTATATGTTCAAAAAAAAAAAAAAGATATTTAGCTATTAAATCCATAGACCTTAAATGTAGCGTACCTTGCACATGAATATCTGAACTAGTAAAGGTGATGACTTGCCCTGACTAAGCCCACTTCTTCTTCAACCTCTGCTTCTGCTTCTGCCTCCTCCTTCCACTGCTTCAGTAAGCCTTCCATTCTTCACACTCTTCACACACCAACTGAGAAAGGTAAATCTATTATTTATATGGAGCCATGAGTCAACTCACGAAAACATAACAACATTAATTAAAATATATAATGCGGAGGACATGTTCCTTGTGTTTAAGATTAACCATGTTCCTGTTGAATTTGAACTTTTGGTGGTGATAATGACCTTAGTACTAGCCAGAGAGAGCATCAGTATAGTACTCTAATGGCGAAAAGTCTTGTTTTAATGGCTTTTTCTTTTCTTTTCTTTTCTCACTCTCGTAAGTACTGAACCAAATTCAGAGATTAGCTGTAGAGATTCTCCAAATTTGTGTGATAAAGAAAATAAAGGATACAGAGCCGTGTAAGGAATAATGATGGATTTTAATAAGACAACATTGGAGTGCTCAGTAGTAGTATAGGACCCTTATAAGGATGGGCTGCAGGTTTTGACTTCAATTGGTAAGAAGCATTCAGCCAACGGCTTTGTGATTAGTACTCTTGGTGACATAAGAAAGTCCATATGAGCTTGTTTGAATTGATGTTTGTAAAATTTTTACAAATTAAAGTTGACATAATAGTAAAACAGTAAATTAGTGTAAGATAATTTATATTTGGACATACTTTTATAAAAAAGAATTAATTTCAGAGAGTTTAATTCTTCAAAAAAAAAAGGGAAAAGAGCCAAAAACAACAAGAAGCCAACAAAAAGTTATTTCCACTTTACCATGACTTTTGGTCTAAAAGTCATTTTGCTCAAAAGTTAATCTAAACATCATTTTTGAGATTTCAATGAGCTTCTTGCTTCTCAAGGTAGCTTTTTTCTTCTCAATGTGATGCCAAACATAGCTTATTACTATAAAAACTAGTTTGGTGTTAGATTTGGTTCTAAATATATAACCTCAATATATATTATCTCTTATGTTTATTAACTTTTTTCAGATTAATTTACTTAACTTATAAGCTAATATATAATCTGATATTAAACTGGGATATTTTACCAAGATCATGTCACATTTGATATGATTAACTAATTTATTTATACTTATTAATATATCAAAATTAGTTAAGTAGCTAGAAATGAACAATCACTTTTGATCATGTTTTTAAGGAAGTCAATGCTCATACTACTATTTCCGATCTTTAATATAAGAACTAGTTAAAGAATTAAATTTGGTCCTAAATATAAGATTTTAGCCTATTTTGTCTCCCACATGAGCTGTCTAATAAATTAAGGAGACTGATGAAACACTTTGCCTTCTTTGTCACGCACCAAAGAAATAGCCAACTACTAGTTGTTGAAAAATGTAGCACAGCTTTTAATTTATGCTCTGATCAATTAGTATAGATATAAAAATATGAAGTTCCATAACAAGTCACACTCTTTCACAAATTATAAATAATATCACTGTCCTGACATTCTGTATGCTACTAGTTAGAGAGCATTAATCCATACATATGATATAAATTGGCCTTTTTTGTTTTCCAACTCTCGTGAGTAGAGACCACATTATGAGATCTCCCGTACACATTTTGCGAGCTTATTATAAAGAAAATTTAAAAAGAAAAAAACAGAAAGGAAAAGGACATAAACCCATGAAAAAATTGATTTGAAGAGACAAAATTGAAAGACTCAGTACAGCACCCTTTTACAATTAGCAATTCTAAACATTATACATAATACTCCTCCGATCCTAATTATAAGATCCAATTGACTTATTTGAGGAGATTAAGGAAGTAAGTTAAGTTAGTTATTTATAATAAAAGTGTTGTTATTCCTAAAATATCCTTGCTAATTAAGTATATTGGCTAAAACTATCATTATTAGAAGGATTATCTTGAAAAAATGCATAAATATAAGAGACAAATGGATTGGGGTCTTATAATTAGGACCAAATAAAAAGTCAAATGGGGTCTTATAATAAGGACCGGAGGAGTAACTTTTTAAATTAAAATCTTAATTCTTTAAAGGTTAAATTAATACAACTTTATTTGTCAAAGAACATCAAATTTAGATCATAATATTACACTATAAACTTATAAAATGAAATTTAATGAATTTCTACAAGTTAATCTATTTAATATTAAAAAAATAAAAATAAAACACAGGCTGGCCCAAACCATCAAGGCTAAGGCCTAATCAGACCAATCCATTCAAATTTAGGCCCAAATGCCATATTTCATTTTATGATCAATTGTGTGAAGCCTCGCCGAAAAATACGTAGTATAATCGACTCTAGTGTTAGTTTTAACAAAAAGAAGCTAATTTCTCCCATCATAACGAATCAAAATTTAAATTCCCATTAGAAAAAAAAAAAAACCACGTTTAGTATCCAACAATCCTTGAACAAAATTACCTTCAAGTGCGTAAAAGAAAAAGAAAAAAACACAGATTCCACCTGCCACTATGTGCCTGGCCCCGGGTCTTCATGCAACTCAGAAAGATGGAACAAAACCATACAATAGTTTACGACAATGTCAAACTATCGCACTCATATAACCCAGCACTATAGAAGAAACTGTTATTGCTACCAAAGCAAGACTTTATATTACATACATACAGATATATATATATATATATATATATATATATATTACACTGGACAGAAGAACAAGCCTAAATTCAATCTGCTTTCAGCATTTACTAAGATCTCTTCTCTATCCGAAGGAAGATAAATGGGATTTGATTAACTCTTGACTAATGGTTCAACAGAAGATATTCCTTCATACACAGAACAAATAATCATGGATTTGTTCGGAATGGGTGACGCTCATTAGGCTGACTATCTGCCTTGGGAGGTACACTATAGAGCAGATCATGGATTTTGGAATACATCAGCAATTGAGATGGGTCGCCACTACTACCCTGCGAAGCACGAGAACTCTCCTGCAGTTTGATCTTCTCATAGAGATATTGCTTCTCAGCTTCAGCCTCACTCAATCGTTGTTTCAAGTAGTTGCTTGTATATTCTTCCTCTGATTTATCCGATTTGGCAAGAGCAATTCGCTGAAGCCTCTCAGCCTCTCGTTTAGCCTCATTAGCCTTAAGCTGGAACATATCAGCCTCTGCAGTTTTAAGCCTTACAATTCTCTCCAGTTCTTCTATCTGTGATTTCTTTTTTTGCCTGTCCATCTTGAGTTCTGCCGCTTCCCTCGCCTTATCTGCCAATTCTCGATCACAAGCATCAAGAGCCAAGCGAGTCTTCTTGAACATTCTCATCTTCTCATCAGCTACCATTTCCATTTTTCTTATAGCCTCCTGCACGACTTCAGCAATTCTATTGCATGCGTCCTGTGGAGCAATCATCCTTCCACTTTCTCCATTTTCAAGGCTCTTTGGGGAGTCCACCTCAAGCTCTTCATTAAGGAAAATCATCAGTTAGAACATGGGGAAAAGTAAATACTTGGGAAAAGCCCCCGGCCAAATTAAAAGACAAAATTCCAATGTATCAATTAATTAATGAATAATGAATGCCCCAGGTCAAAAAAAAATTAATGCCTTCATTTATTTGTTTACTTATTTATGTATTTATAGATTATAGATTTGCTAAATCATATCTCTTGCTGCCCCTTTCTTCGTACATGTTGACATGCACATCATTATAAAAGATATCATGCTTCAAGCTAAAATCATTACACCCTTTCATAATATCTAGCTTTTATGTATTGTAAATACTTGTTTTTGGTGTCAGAATGAACATGCCATTTGACATTATCAAACACAATACAAAATAGTTTCTTTTTTTCTTTTTTTCCTTTTGGGAGGGGGGTGTCGAGCATAAAAATGTATTGTTTTACCACCCAACCAAGGTCTATATTATGGCAGAAATTGCATGATTCAACAGTCCAAAGAAATAAAGGAATCATTCTTACCTTGGAAAAGCATCAACATTGCACTGCATGCAGCATTTGGTTCCACCATTCCACTTTTCATTTTCTCCTTTAGATCATCACAATTCCGGCACAGTTTCCTCCCCCTGGGGTCTTTACTACCATGAAAGATCCTACTAACAAAATCAAGTTCCCTCATTAAAGCCTCCCCATCCCATGATGGCGCACAATGCTGAAAAACATCTTTAACCCAACCCAACAGCTCTGAAGTCCTCTTGCATGCTTGGCACCTGAAAACCATTTCGCTTGGTCCTGCACCACTCTTTGCAGAAGGGCCCATGCAAATAAGTTGATCACGAATGGCACAGTCTGTATGAGTCCAGTGAGAGCATAAATCACACCCAATCCAGCGGCAAGTATTTACTTCGAAGTCAAACTTGTTGCAGATTACACACATGCAGAGATTGCAGAAACCATTCCTGCTGGTGCATATTTCACAGGTACAGTCATCAGCAGGAAGCTGGTTCTGACAAGCGATATTTCTGCATCTCCTGTACACAAAGATCTCAATGAGGGAAGGTTGTGAAAGACCGATGTTGGGATGCAAAAATGCCTGAATTCCAGTATTAATGGCCACGAGGATTTCAAGCTGCACACGATGTGCTCTGATCAATGTCTTGGCCGTCAAATCAGTTCGACTTTGAACAAGCCTCTGCAAAGTGAAGAATTCCTCCCTGTGCTGTGAACCATTCCCTCCCTCAAGGATCACTCGTAGGCTGTTCTTCAGTTCTTCTAAAAATTCATCAGGTAGACGATGCATCTTTTCAGATATTATGTCAACCCTTTCTCTTCCTATGTCCTGAAGGGTGATTTTGTTGGCACTAGAAACACGACGGATGACTGACAGCTCAGGGCAATCATCCTCAGCCTTCCCATTTGCCATTTTTTTTGCAGCAATAGCTTCAGCAGTGGGCCAGGTTTCTCGTGAACTAGCACTTTCAGTAGGAGATTCTCGAATATTGTCAGAGTTTGATCTAGGTTCCTCAGGAGAGAGACGAGGATCTGAAGAAACTAGGGATAGTGAAGTTTGCAGTCCTCCAACACGAGATTGCTGGCGTGGAGGTAGCATTTTAGAAGACGATTGCTGGTTGATATTGGAGCCTGAGGTCACCCCCATCAAAAGTTTAACTTTGTCAGTGACTGTGGCAGCAGTGATTATATGTAATATTATCAACCACAATACATAATTATAATACCTTCATTGTAGTCATTCTCATTTAATTCATAAAGGCTCTATTTAATGCTAAAATTTGCAATAGATGAGGAATTCAAACAAACAAGGGAAGTAGACAATTTATATTATTTCAAAAGAAAAATCTCTATATGGACTGTTATATAGACATGAATATGCGAGCTCCGAAACAAATCACCTAGTAAAGTATTCAAAATTAGCTGTGCCTGTTTGCACAAACCATCAGGAACTAAATGAGGAGCTAAGATCAACAGTTATAGATGGATAGTATAAACAACCACAACTAATTTAAAATACGGATTTTGGAGCTCGTATATTCAAGTCTATTTCAGGGAATTATTATATCAGCGTTGGGATATGCGAACTAGAGAGAAGGCAATTTGAATGAGCAGAAAACAGACCAGTAGCATTATTATATCAATAATCAGTGTCTTACCTAAGGCCTGATACAATAAGCCGAGGAGATGAGATGACTGGAAGGGAGCAACAACCAGAGAGCAACCCGGCTTCACCTTTAGATTTCACACTTTCAGTTTCATATAAGCATGAGAGGATCACTAGATGAGTGAGAGGGGGAAGCCGAGCAGGGCAAGAGCAAGAAGGAGCCAAAAAACAGTCAATTTTCAGAGAAAATCGGAAAAAAAAAAACAAAGAAGAAAAATTATAGCAAAAGGAAATGCACCTGGAAATGGCGAGGCAGCCTCAGAGTGGGAAAGGAGGAGAAGCAACAGCGGTGACCCAGAACGACGAGCGAGAGAACCGGAACGACGGCCCAGAACCTGAACTCTGAACCTGAGATGAAGAAGGAACGACGAGCAGGGGAGGAGAGAGCAGCTGGAAGGGACGATGAAGAAGAAGAGAAGGAAGCCGCGTGCGTGACTGAATCGGGATGCCGTGAACTCTGAATCTGATTTCTGAGACCGGGTCGTGAGTCTGTGAGAGAATCGAATTCGATTAGGGTAAGGGAATTTTAGCAATTAGGGAAAGCTGATTCTGATGGCCCGTTTGGGTGGAAAGAGAAACCGGGAGAAAAGAAGGACAGGGAGAAAAGGAAGTGCAGGGAGCACCAAAGGATACCCTGTTGTTTGGATGGACACGAAAACCGGAGGAAAGAAAAGGCAAATATTTTAATTACAATAACACCCTTATATCAATATACTAGTATACGACGCCTGTGTCCGCCGAGCACGGAATCCAGTTCGGAGATTATAAAATCTTAATTCATTTTATCTTATATATTGATAATTTCTTTTAAAACTAATTTATTTAATTTATAAATTAATGCATTATAGTTATAAGTCACTTTTAATGTGTCACACTAAAACCAATAAAAATCTTAAAACTCATTAACTCTATTTTAAAAGTTAACAAACTTTTAATTTTATCTCTGTTTAATATATATTTTTAATAAAATAACTATCTATGTAATAATAAATGAAGATAAAATAATGCATTTATTTTAAATTTAATAATGTGATTTATAAGTATTAAATGGGAACAAGAAAAATCTTCTCTCCCCCTTATAAGTAGAATCAAAACATTATATAATCTAATAAGTTATTTCAAAAATATCATGCCATGTTTGTTAAGATTAAGTAATTTACCTAATTTAGTCAAGTTAGATAAATAATTATTACATTACATGTGCGAGAAGTATTTATTGTGTCATTTCTATCAAATTAAATCAAAAGCATAAAAACATTTTTTATTTTGATTAATAATCAAATTGGAGAAATTTTAAATATATTTCTCTCCATTATGACAATTTATGTCACACTTGGGAATAAGAACGTGGCATGGATAATATAAGGAGATAGAGAGTAGAGATGCAAAGTCCTCTACATATTGGAAAAATAATTGTAAACAATGATTATTCTAGTAGTATGATCACCTGTCACATTGGGAAAAGGTTCTAATGTGTTTATATGCATATAACCTAACATATCTAGTAAATCTATTAGGCTCAAGTTCAGATTTATAATAGGAAGGCCTACAAATCTACACGCTTAGCCTATTTAGCTTTTTGTTTCCTTTAATTTACACATATATAAATATAACATTCAGTCCAAAAAATATATATAAATATACATAAATCAGTTTTATAAATTATTTAGGAAAAATGATAATAAGATCCCACCTAAGAGAATTAAATATAAAAATATTTTTCAAAACCATCAAATTAATCTGAAGTCTTGAGGGACCTCATTATAAGAGATTTTATTTATTTAATTATCAAATTACTCTTTTTTTAAAAATATGTATTGACAACTAAAAATATAGTCATTAACAATTTAAGGAGTAACAATTAACAACTATCATAGCAAATATTAACAACTCATACATTATATTTTTGTGATGCATTGAGAAAATATGTTGTTAATAGCTATTGCGATAGTTGTTAATTGTTACACCTTAAGTTGTTAATTATTACTCTTTTAGTTGTCAATGCATACTTAAAAAAATAAGGATAATTTAATAATTAAACAAATAAAATCTCTTACAATGGTGTCTCTTGGAGCTTCAAAATAATTTAATAATTTCAATGGATCTTTTGAACCTTATTACAATTTTCCCAATTATTTATAAAGTCACTAACTTAACATGAATCCCAAATTTCATATCCCATCATTCACATAACGAAACATCAATCAGAATGCTATTGAGGGTGCTGTGATGATAATCTGTTGCTGATTGTGCGACGAGAATGCTCAGCTTGCACAATTCAGCATGCCTGAAATTTCCTTGATCATTGCACTTGGCGCCAAAATTCTCCCATCATGTATAGCTAAGTTTATCTTGTGCCAAATAACAAATGAGGAGGAGGATTTCACAAACAGGAAGCAGATCATTCCTACCATCATTATGCAATTGAGATAAAATGAGCTTAATCTAGAAAGCAAATGGGTTGAAGGAGAATTCTGGGATTTTAATCAAGAAGCTGCAAAACCGAAGTGCTGCAACATAAGGACACTGAATAGACAAATGTTCGAACGTTTCTTTATCGGTACATCCAAAGGGGCAAACATTAGAAACATTCATGTGATCCTTCTTAAGGACATTATTAGTACGTAATGCCTGGTTCAAACGTTTCCAAATATTTAAAAAAAGAAAAAGAAAGGCCTTGAAAGATAGAGGAATTTTCAGAAAAGATTATGAATCCGATTGATAGGAAGGTAACTTTGGAGGCATAATTTGAAACCTTCTTTGAGTGTAAAGATGTGCCCATCCCAACTCATTCGAGCACATACATTCATAAAAAGGCACTAAGGTGTGAATAATTGAATCAACAATGGTTAATTAGTGACACAAGAAGGTGTTTCGTTTGTGTTTATTGTATCGCGATGTATAAGTAGAGCCAAGAATATAGATTGGAGTCTGCAGGTCAGTCTACCAACCCTTTATAAAAGAGCGGGTTAGGGTTAGTATTTTGCCAGCCCGTCAAGGTGCGAGCTGCTCTAGCCTGCACCGCATAACTCGCGGGTTGTGGTGGGTTAGCCCGCCTAACACGTCACCTTTTTTTTTTCACATAAATAATATGTTATTATATTTAAAAATTTTCTTCTCTCATTTACATTATAATTTACATGTTATATAATACATATGTAAATAAAAAAATATTTTTTAAAAATAAGCATACTATATTTATAGCAAAAATTTAATAACTACAATCAAATATAAGACAATGTTTATTACAAAAAAATATTTTAGAAAAACATGGTAAATGAACTTTAAAAAAAATTAGATAAATGCACTTCTAGTTTGTTAAGAGATAGATGTGTTGTATCAAACATGACATTTGTATGAAAAAATTATAAAATTTATCACTTGATGAGTTGATGTTGAATGTTAATCATGTACAATATTTCTAATGTATTGTTTTATATTTGTATTGACTATGTTAAATGTAGTTAAATATAATTTAGGGGAAATCACAAATAAAGACCCTCGAATTAGCAAAATCACTCTATGGTCACCTGAATATGCCAAATTACCATGAGGGACCCGGTCTCAAATTATAATTATGAAATCATGGCCAAATTACCAAAATACCCCTCTTTAATTTTTTTTTTTTAAAAGGAAGCCACTACCTCATCGGAATCCGGCCACCGGCGCTGGCGGCCTTCCTTTTTTTTTTTGCAACTTTTTTTTTTTTTAAATAGTGGGGGAAGTGAGGTTGGGGGGATTTGATCCCCCAACCTAATGCTTCCCAAAATAAGAAATGACCATTGAGCCAACAAATTTTTGTTAACATTATAATGCAAAAAAAAATATAAGTTAACTCATTTACTCTTGTTCCAGGTGATAACAACAATACATTTGGAAATAACAAGTTCTGATTGTAAAATAACACGTCTGGAATAAAAATTTAACAATATGTTTTTTTTATAACAATAAATTTTGTTGCAGGCAATAACAACAATACATTTAAAAATAACAAGTTCTGATTATAAAATAACAAGTTTGGGATTAAAATTTAACAACACGTTTTTTTTTATAACAACACACTTTGTTTCAAGTGATAACAACAATACATTTAAAAATAACAAGTTCTGATTATAAGATAATAAGTCTGGGATTAAAATTTAACAACACGTTTTTTTATAACAATTAATTATTTTATACTTTTAAAAAATAAATTATTTTATAACTTATAAAAAATATTTTTAAATATTTATTTCTCTAAAAAATACTTTTTAATCTGTATATCTATACAACTCATTATAAATCAAACTACTTCTTATAAATTATAAAGTATTTATAATAAGGCATTTTTAATCTATTAATCATAGTATAAATTTTATATTATTTCATTCTTTAAATATTAAAAATAGTTTTTATATTTAAAGAATAAAATAGTATTTTTAATTATAAATTAGAGATAAATTTCATTTATAAATTTAAGCAGTCAAAAAGTATTTTTAATCCATAATAAATTGTACTATTTATAATTTATAAGAAGTAGTTTGATTTATAATAAGTTGTATAGATATATAGATTAAAAATTCTTTTAAAAAAATTAAAAAAGTGTGTTGCCATTTTCCCTAAATTTTATTTATAAATTTGAACAATAAAAAAGTATTTTTAATCTATAAAAAATTATACTTCAAGTTCTGATTATAAATTGGAGATAAAAATTATTTTTTTAGCAAATTAAATAGATTACAAGTACTTTTTATAAGTTATAAATAATTTATTTTCCAAAAGTATAAAATAATTAATTGTTATAAAAAAAAGGTGCTGTTGAATTTTAATTCCAGACTTGTTATTTTATAATCAGAACTTGTTATTTCCAAATGTATTGTTGTTATCACCTGAAACAAAGTGTGTTGCTATAAAAAAACATGTTGTTAAATTTAATCCCAGACTTATTATCTTATAATCAGAACTTGTTATTTTTAAATGTATTGTTGTTATCACTTGAAACAAAGTGTGTTGTTATAAAAAAAACGTGTTGTTAAATTTTAATCTCAAACTTGTTATTTTATAATCAGAACTTGTTATTTTAAATGTATTGTTGTTATTGCCTGCAACAAAATTTATTGTTATAAAAAAACATATTGTTAAATTTTTATTCCAGACGTGTTATTTTACAATCAGAACTTGTTATTTCCAAATGTATTGTTGTTATCACCTGGAACAAGAGTAAATGAATTAACTTATATTTTTTTTTGCATTATAATGTTAACAAAAATTTGTTGGCTCAATGGTCATTCCTTATTTTGGGAAGCATTAGGTTGGAGGATCAAATCCCCCCAACCTCACTTCCCCCACTATTTAAAAAAAAAAGTTGCAAAAAAAAAACAAAGGAAGGCCGCCGGCGCCGGAGCTCCGGCGGCCGGACCCCGGCGCCGGTGGCCGGATTCCGGTGAGGCAGTGGCTTCCTTTTAAAAAAAAAAAATTAAAGAGGGGTATTTTGGTAATTTGGCCATGATTTCATAATTACAATTTGAGACCGGGTCCCTCATGGTAATTTGGCATATTCAGGTGACCATAGAGTGATTTTGCTAATTCGAGGGTCTTTATTTGTGATTTCCCCTATAATTTATACTTGTGATTACTTTTGAAATTTTGGATCACCATTTATTAATTTAAAAAATTAAATAAAAATAAGATTTGAAAATTAGGAATTAAAAAAAAAGATCCAGCCAATCAAAATGCAGGCTATTCCAGCCTGCACCGTATGACCTGTGGGTTGTGGCGGGCTGGCCGTATTCCCAGCTATATGCATAAGCCACTTAAAAGGGTGGTTAAGAGGAATGAAAGAAACACGGCCAATTATCCATTTTAATTTGTTGCCAACTATAATTTGTGAATTTGGAGAATTCACAAAGCAATACTACTTCTGGTTCTTAATATAAGAACTTGTTTGATTTTTATTTTGGTCTTAAATATAATATCTCAATTCTATTTGTTTCTTATATTTATCTATTTATTTTCAAAATAGTCTTTGTAATAATAATAGTTCTAGCCAATATATTTGATTATTAAGAATATTTTAGAAAATACAACACCTATTTATTACAAATAACTAATTTAACTAATTTTCTTAACCAACTTAAATTAATTAACTAGCTCTTATATTAAGGATCAGAAGTAGCATAGGGTTTCTTGGCCACATATTCCTCATTTTCATTGATGTACGTGACCTTTAAGGCTGAAGCCAAAAGAATGATGAGTTTGAAAACATGATGCAACATGTTTACTTGGCAACAATGTTTCATTTTAATTTGAGTCCGTTTAAAATAATTTATAAATAATTTTTTAATTATAATTTTTAAAATACGAGATAAATATGTCAATTGTGAAAAGATAGTGGTTTTAATTTACGTGCACCGTTTTTATAATCATGATTTCAAATGAAATTTTCATGTTTGGTATTGTACAAAAACAAAATCATGTTTGGTGATAATGCAAAAGAGGGGCACGTGACTATGAGAGAACCACGTGCCGATAGTGCCGCAATGCGATCAATGTCGGTCTCAACGCCACTTGGCTTCATAAACTGTATCCAACAAAAATTACATCCCACTCACCGATCTTCCATCAGCGTCAACCCAAAGCAGAAACCAGTTATGCATCTCACCAATCATGGCACCTTCGTTATTTTCTCCATTCTCAGTGGCATTTCCCTTCCCTTGCTCCCCTCGGTCTTATCGACCACGTTTCTCTTCCAGCATCCTTTAGTCTGACTCTGAGAAATCTATAAACAAACACGTTGAGAGACGCAGACTCTGTGCGCTCCTCTCAAAGTCTGCTGAATCCGAGAAAGAGGGAGATTCCCAACGGAAAATGTTGAAGATTTCTTGTAATGGGACAGATCCCATTCAAGCCCTAGCTCAATGCAGATTCAATGCTCCGCCCAGGTCCTTCTTCGCTCGCCGGAGGAGCGACGTCGTTGTGTGCTCTCGCGAGACCAAAACGTCGCCGGTTCTTGCCGTCGTGTCGGACCGTGGAGGCCTTGGGTTCGATGGCGCAGTGACACGGGTTGAACCCGGTTCGGGGACTTTGGCGGACCGGTTGCGTCTGGGGAGCTTGACGGAGGATGGATTGTCTTATAAGGAGAAGTTCATTGTAAGGAGTTATGAAGTTGGGATTAATAAGACGGCCACTGTTGAGACAATGGCCAATCTCTTGCAGGTAAAACGTTATCCCTGCTTGTTTCTTTTTCAATGCATTTTAATCTTTCATTGTTTTGCTCGAATATAGCATGACCGACAGGTTTTTCCCTATCTGTTTCGTTTTTTGTGTATCTTCGAATTAGACTGGAAACCTTTTAAAAGTTCAAAGTCAATTTTTTTGGGCATTTCTCGTCTTGAATTTTTCATGCGAATTCTACCGAAACGGGAAGTGAAGATTTTGGGCATTTGAAATTTCTATTCCACGCTCTCTCTCTCTCTCTCTCTCTTCCTTCCTCTATTTGCATTGCATTTCTATTTCAATTGCATTTGTGAACAATTAAATAACAGAGTTCGGCAAGTATATAGGATAAGATTGTGCAATGTTGTTGAGATAATCTGTTCCTTATTGTTTTCTATTGAGTTGTTTAGGAATTGCACTTGTCTGATAGTAGACGACATTTTGTTTGTTTTCTAGCATTAACTTTGTGATTATAGGAGGTTGGATGTAATCATGCTCAGAGTGTTGGGTTTTCGACGGATGGATTTGCTACGACCCCTACCATGAGAAAATTGCGTCTCATATGGGTGACTGCTCGCATGCACATTGAAATCTACAAATACCCTGCTTGGTGGGTTTTGCTCTTAACCATGTTGGTTTATGTAGAAACTTAGCGAGAAAAATATTTGACTGGAAAATTCCAACAGGAGTGATGTCGTTGAAATAGAGACGTGGTGTCAAGGGGAAGGAAGAGTTGGAACCAGACGTGATTTTATACTCAAGGACTATGCTACCGATCAAATGATTGGAAGAGCAACCAGGTGAGAATTTTTCATTATTGTGAACCGTTTCTAGACATGTAATGCTCATTGATATGTACTGTGAAGTTGTGGAAATTCTCTGCTACTGGAAATCCTTTGTTCCAAAATCACAAACTTCGTGTTTCAGTTTCAGTAACGTATGCCTGATCCAGTTTTTCCTCATCATTTGTCTGTCATGAGATAGAATAATGGTCGGAGCTTTTATTTCTATTGTTTTGGTGTCATAATATCAAGAATATTCTAGTTGCTACTGAAACCGTGGTTAAATCATCCAACTAAATTGCCGGGCTGCATTTTAGTTCTTCCCGTATATAAATGGTTTGAGTTTTTTCTTTTTCGGGTTGGGGAAGTTGAGGACTTGTGAGATATTTGAAGTGATGAACTTAATTCCTCTTATTGGAAATTTCTATTCTTTGCCATAAATTATGCACATTCTACTTTCTATCTTTCCAATAGTGTACATTAAGTGCTTCACGTCATGCTTTAAGGTTTAACTAAGTTCTTTTGAATATTTTATGTTAATTTGAAATCTTGAACCCCCTTACATTTATCTTGAAGCACAACTTTAACAAACCTGTCCAATAATTCTGACTTGTGAGGTCCTGGTGGTCACTAGGATGTCAGGAATTTTATTAAGCCTATGTTGTATAGTGGCGGTCAGAAAGAGGGGAGAGATCGAGAACAGAGAAGCAGAGAGAGATATTAGAGAGAGACAAACAGCAACAGAATTTTTCATTAACTGTAGACACATAGCATAATCCTTTCCATACACTCCCTTTTTTAGCCGCTGCCCCTCCAATGGTGACAAATCACCAATTAAATTTCGGTGAATGCACACGTCACTTAATATTTTACAAGTTACATGCCAGCCTTGTAAACAAATAAACAATAATATCCATCCATAAAATCTAAAGTTGACAGGAAACTATTCTATTATGCAATGTGAGAAAATTTAACAAATAATTCTTAGCTGCAGTCTCTGTGAAATGTACTTGGCCTGTGGAATTGATGCTTTTGTGGATTTTGTTGATGTCATGTATGCAACTGTCCAAAACAGTTTTGTGCTTTAGATGCTTCTTCCATAAAGCTGACAATCGGCATTGATTCCTTCAGCAAGTGGGTAATGATGAATGAGGACACTAGGCGACTCCAAAAAGTCTCTGATGATGTCCGTGAGGAGTATCTGGTTTTCTGTCCGCGTGAGCCAAGGTATGTTGCTTTTCTACCTTGCGTTGAGATCATTCCTAGTTGACAATATGTTGCACAATGTAAACCTAGAATTTTGGTGAACAAGAAGGGAAGGGCACTGTTGGTACCAACGCCACGTCAGTGTGAAAGTGTCTTCTTGAACGTCTATGCTGATAAGCAGCAAATTAGTAGTAGCAGCTTGGCTGAAGCATCCTGGTCCATAGTTGCTTTCATTTTATTGTTTTTGTTGTGTGGTTCTAGGTTATCCTTTCCTGAGGAGAATAATAATAGCTTGAAGAAAATTCCAAAGCTGGAAGATCCTGCTCAGAATTACAGACTAGGACTTGTGGTATGATCATTTAGCTTATATAACTCTTTTCTTTTTCTCTTCAAATTTTCCCTGGATAACTCGTAATTTGCTACATATGTTTAAGGTTCTATCTTTTAGCTTTTCTGATCTTGTTATGATTGTAGTAATTTATCTCATGAGGATATCCTATTGCTCTTTCCTGTGTACTTTTTCCCTTTTGATATAATTTCTTTTATTATGAAAGAAAATATCAAGATCCTGGTTCTCATACTAAACTCTCAAATACTGCAGCCTCGAAGAGCAGATCTAGACATGAACCAGCATGTTAACAATGTCACTTATATTGGATGGCTGCTTGAGGTACTTCGAAAAAGTCTACATTTGTTCCAATTCCTGAGCAATATATAAGCATGTGTTCTATCCATATATGTGCATATGTATGTATGGCTGGCTTTTGGTTGATAGTGAGGGGACCAAAGATCAAAAGATCACATAAAAATCACATGGCACGCTCTAAGTTACGTAACTTGGTGTTTCAATCTTGAACATTCGTGTCAGATCCAATGGTCAAGATTCGCTCCTCTAAATTCCTTGGCAAACTAATGCCATGTTCTCTATAACCTTGTATAAAGCTTCTGTTAGTTGTCGCAACAACTTCAAAGGAGGTCTGCACAATTTATTCTACCTTTCTTTTTTTAAATGGGATACACATTTTTATCCATTTTTTACATGCCATGCATACATGTGCCTATTCAATAGACGGCAACCTGATTCATCAGTTCCATATCAAAATGAGTCCTTTTCTCCAACGCTTCATGTTGGCATCATGGACTGACAAAGTTTTATGGCAGAGCATGCCTCAGGAAATTATCGACGACTATGAGTTGCAAAGTATAACATTGGATTACAGACGTGAGTGCCAACAAGATGATATAGTTGACTCCCTCACAAGCTCGGAACTGGCAGAGGGAGCTGAGGCAGTTGCAGAACTCCATGGTACAAATGGATCCGCCACGGCAAGGGAAGATGATCAAGATTGCCGGCAGTTTCTGCATCTACTTAGGTTGTCTGGTGATGGACTAGAGATCAACAGAGGACGAACAGAATGGAGAAGGAAAGCTCCAAGATGATGCATCTACTCCAACCTTTGCTCGACTCTTTTTTGGTGGTTCTGTTTTGTCTACTCTTCGGCATTGGAGATTTTGCTTAGAACTCACGAACTTTTTCTACGGCTGTATTAGTATAATTTTATCCGGTTGTTATAAAGTTTGTCAACATCACTGTAATAGGGGATTTGTTTTTTGCTTGCATTCTCAAGAGATCAATCTTTTAGTTCTGAGTAGCAAGGAAGATGCAGAATTTATGATTGTAACGGAGATTTCAGTAAGCACCTATGGAGTTAAATCCAAGCAGCTAAGTTTTATTACGCTTTCTTATTGAGCAAGCGTTTATTGCAGATTGAAATGATCGGGAAAATTCTACTGTTTATAAAGTGAGTTTTGTGCATTCATCGAAACAAGTCCCGTTGTTTATAACCAATGTTGTTTGTAACTTAAACATATTGTGATTTCTAACTCATGACTTGTAAATAGTGATTTCTCACTTTTTAATATATATTACTACTTTTGGTTTTAAATATAAGAGTTAGTTGCTATTTTAAGTAGATTAAGAAAATTAATTAAATTAGTTATTTGTAATAAATTGGTATCGTCTGTTTTAAAATATCTTTGCTAATAAGTTTATTGATTAACACTACTACTATTAGAAAGACTGTTTTGAAAAAAAAATATAAATATGAAAAATAAAATGGATTGAGATTTTACATTTATGATTAAAATAAAAGTCAAATGAGATTTTATATTAAGGATCGGAGATAATATAACAAGTTGATTTTCTATTAACTAGTCATGAATCCTACAAATACCATTGTTGTGCATTGCTCAAGTAATTATGGACACGTTTTAAATATGAAGTTATTTAATCATCAATAGACAATAGATACTCCTGTGGTCTTTAATATAATATTTAATTGTTAAGTTAATTTTAATTCTAAATATAAGACTATATTTCTCATATTTATCAATTTTTTCTAATTATCTCTATAAACACTCCCTCAACCATAATCAAGTAAGTGAGGGAAAAAGGATATTAAAAAAGATGATTATGGTGTTTTAGGAAAAAACATATCATATTTTTTTTATTATTAACTAGTTTATCTAACTTCCTTAATTTAATCAAATTAGTTAAATAGATCTTCTATTAATGACCGGAAGAGTAATAGATTTCAATAATATCCTACTGATTTTTATGTGATTGGTAAGGTTAATTGGATTTTCATGACTGGTTATTGTATCAGAATTAGAGAAAATACAAAATACGATCACCAATTCATAGGGTCATCCCCTTCTTTTGGAAATCATGATAAGGTGGATTGTTTGTGCGATCGAATGGTCAAATGCACTACTCAAAATAAAGGATAATAAAGAATGCTATGCTCCTATGTTGTCTGGGATGTGAGAGATAAAGTATAATAAAGAATTATAAGGAAACTTACATCCCTCTGGTCTCAAGTGTAGAAACTAGTTAGACAATTAGTTTTGATATTAAATTTGAAATATTAATTCATTGTATCTCTTATATTTATTATTTTTTTAACTAATTTATGTAATTTATAAATTGAAATATAGTCTAATATTGTATAAGAATATCTTAGGATATAATATTACATTTATTAGAATTAAGTAATTCATTTAGCTTTCATAAACATTTAAATTAATTAAATAAGTTTTAAATTAAGAGCCGTAGGAGTAATACATCAAATTGAAATCCCCGAAATAGAGAGAGTTTTTACTAATCGATCCAAATTAACGGACGCAACTACCAATTCCTCCAAATGGTACAAATTAAGGTACCCCATGAATGCTATCACAACTAAGCACACGCCAATTACCAT